AAAAAAAAAAAAAAAAAAAAAAGCTCTACACAAGCCTGCTAATCTTAACACATGAGAGAAAAAAAAAATAACTGAAGCCTATTCAAGATCAAGTTGCCATTTGAAGTAATTTATGTTTATGTTTAACACCAAATTTGGAAACATGGTAGGGTGAGGAATAAAAGATGCCTCAAATTATTTACGAATAATCATATCCATTTCACATCAGCTGAATTAAAGCAGAGCTCACAGTAAAAATATTAAGCAGCATAAACACTCTTTGCTAAATGCAAAACCCTCTAATTTTGCCCCAAAACTGCACAGTATACTGTAGTACACTCATTTTCCAGTATTTATTCTGGAGCAAATTCATTTTAAATTCATTGCACTATTTCAGATGACAGGAAGACAGGCAGAAGAGGAAGAAGTAATAATAGTTATGCTAGGAACAAGTGTTACAAAAGCAAAAATGTGTGAAGATGTGAATATGTAAAAAATTTTCACTTGCAAGCTCAGAAATGGTTCAGTAGACCTCAAGAAAGCATCCTTTCCTAAGTGCTGTATTTGCTCAAAACTAAAACAGGTTTTCCCTTTTCTCCTACTCTTGAGTTGTTCCAGACAAAAAAACAAACAAAAAAAAATCTTACAATTTAGTCTGTCTTCAGGTTAATATAGTAATTCCAAGCCTTTTTACTTGTTTAAATAACACAGCTGGAGCCATCCAGTCACACCGATAATTATGTTTGCATGTGTAAAATATTTATTTCAAACAAGAAATTAGAGCAGCAATTTTAAGATATTACAAGTTTTCCCCCTTGCTGTTGTATATAAAAATTCTTAATTTTAGATCAATGCATTAAGAGCTGTCCCCTGCTAAAGTTGCACTTTTTTTCCTGTAATAGACAATGTGCTGAGTAAAAGTCACCTCCTAAGTAAGAGAAGGTAAAAGTTACTCCTAAAAAAGCCATTATTTCAGTACTCTAAAGAGAAACAGTAACTTAAGAAGCAAATAATCACAGGCCATCTTCATTTGGTGTCCTTAGTGTCACTGCCTGCAGTACAGTAGTCAGGAATTTTAAATACTCTATTTTTTAGCTGAAGTTAATTTTGAAGTGACATTATTAGCTTTAAGGGCATTTATGCTTAGAAACTCCTCTTAACATTATTTAGTTTTGGGAAGCTATGTAACCCAGAAGCCATAATGAATCAAGTACTCAAGTTTTTAAGTGAGTGGGCACACAAATCTTCACGCATCTAGTTCCAGAATATGCTTGAAATCCTATCAGCTACTTATTTCTCTCCTCCATTAATATCTTTCTCCTCCTGAGTGAGCTCCAGATCTCACCTTCATTTTATTAGCTGGACATAACTGTTGCGCCTTTGGGTCCCACATAAAAAGACCTGATCACAGCACTGAACAGAAAGTATTCAGATCTCTGCTGTTAAGCCTGACCTGATCACATCTGATAACACTTGCTGACCAGCTCTAAGGCAGAACCCACCTAGAAATGAAGTTTAACCTATTTCCTTAAGTATTAGCTCTCAGGAGTTTTATTCCTACAGCTCCCATCAAGTGCACAGCTTTTCAGAGCGAGACGCCTACGCCACGTATGATGAGAAGGCCTACGAAGTAGAGGCTTATCCCAGATAATCTAAACAAAAGGAATTTCCAAGCTATGCCAAGTTCTGCTTTGGAAGGGCCACCATACCATTGCATCCATGTCTTTTTGGCTGTATTTTAGCACATCTATAATAGCATCCACAGCAGTGTCTGTAGAAGCAGTAAAAGTGAC